GGGACGATGAAGGAACAACTAGAATGAAAGAGGAGACGTCTTTAGTGAGCCTAATCGAAACAAGTAGAACCACAATAATTATGGGTTGGCACAAAAGAGACTATGACAGGAAGTGATAGACATGGTTTATAGATAGAAACAGTAAAGACGCAGAAGAGACTAGAGCTATTTGGCTAACAATAGACGTGTTTAATCATAGAAGTGATCCTTGAATCACGATTAATGTTAGCCAATTAGCTCTAGCCTCCACTGATTCAATCCTCTTTCTATCTATAATATCAAGTCTAACTTCCTATGCCCTAGTCTCTTGTGTGCCAGCCCACAAACGTTGTGGTTCAACATTAAACCTAATCAAAGCAAGTAGTATCACAACATTTGTGGGTTAGCACACAATATACTAAGACATAGCAAATCATAGACTTGGTATTAGGGATAGAAACATGATAGAGGCGGCGAAGACTGGATCTAGTTGGCTTTAGCTTTGAATTAGTCACCTAGACGCAGGGAAGTGCGAATATGCCTCGAGTAGCCCAGATGGGGTGGCAGCGGTCGAGGACTGCGTAACAATATGGCAGACTGAGCAATATTCCCAGCACAAGGATGAAGGGGGTGAGAACGACAGCGTGGAGTGTGAAGAGTTCACATGAATTCCGCTAAAAGGAGCACACTACTTGACATCAAAATAAGCACACTAAAAATTGTAACAGTGAGTGCGTGGTATGAGGATATAGGAAATGTGAATAGCCCAGGGCAGACGGAGAGATACCACAACTCTTTACACACGTTTGGTCAAAAGATCGGCTTCACTTTGCTATTTGACGAGTTGTTGCGCGGTGCTAAGAATGGCGAGACTCACAGACGATGCCGGATAATCTGTTCACTCGAAATGGAAGTAAGCTCAACAAATACAATACATTACAATGCTGTCACTTTTCCATTCCCTTCAATCCACTCATTTATATATATCCAAAACAAATAATTGGGTTTAATCAATTATCATTTGAGTTTGAAGATATTACTTGGTGTATGTCTAAAATTTTTTAAGGTTATATCCCAAATAATTTTCACATTAATATCCCGAAAATGTGCTTATTCAGAATGATATGTAACTTCATTATCTGTTGAGTCTTAGTATTCCCACCATGAGTCTTTCGAAACATGAGCATTTATTTTTATTATTTTTATTTTTAACATATTATTAATTTGAGGAAGGAGAGACCTTAGTTTCGTATGAATAAGCATAAAGAAGATATTCGAAGGTTGATCTGACCAGAAGGCAATAGCTGATTCCCGTTATACTGCATCTCCTTGGCTTTAATACGACGTTCAGGTTAACGCAATCCATGAACATTGTCCCTCGTTTTGGGTAAAAATGAGCTAAGCAAAGTTGAAACAGTTTTAGTTTAACTTTAAGTGCGTCGATATTTTGTCCAGCGCAATTATTAAGTTTCCAAGCTATCATTTCATCATGCATAAGAGCATCAGTCATTTCCCTAAATGTGAATGGGAAAAATTATTAAACATATATTAGTTTTGCTGCCTACTTATTTCATATATAGTAATTGGAAATAAAAGTTGCTTTATCCACACCGATTCTATCATAGATGTGGTTTATGAGAGGCTGCAGCTTGCCTTAAAAGTTGCATCTGCCCTAAGAACAACTGGAACCCGTGGCTGCAGTGCTGGTAAAGTTTCTACTTAGAGCTCATGGCTCGGTTTCAAATCCAATTTGGGGATGCCGCTGTAGTGAATGTGAGGTCAAAACTGTTGTCTATTCTGTTTGTGAATTTCTTTGCGAAGCAAGGCTATGTGCATTGTGAGACTTACTCATATTATTTTGTAAAGTTCAATAAACAGCTTTTAATAGCAGATATGAAGATCAAGATGGTGTGGCCCTCGGTATTGTCACAGTCTCCTTTCGATGTATAAAGATGATTTGACTTCTTTTTCGCAACTTGATCTTGTTGTTTGGACGATTTGGTTGGACGCACCTTGTCCGAAGTCCTTTGCCATAGTAGTTATCCTAATTCCTAGCGCCAGACCGTTGACTTGGTACATTCTCAGATGTTTTACCGGCATTTTAGTCGGCATCATTAGTGAGTCCTGCCCTTCTCAGCACTTTGCTTCAACTCGTCAAAGGGGCAAGGGAAATTATTCCCTTGGCCAAACATTGTGCCGAAACAGTATAAAGTAAGGAATAGATAGATGGGCCGTGACAAAAAGAGGAGTGATAGGGCAACCGTTTCGACAGAAAGTTTGGTCAAGGGATTGACTTCATTGGTCTCTGACCAGTTGTAGCTTGGTGTTGAGAATAGCAAGACTTACTAATGATGCCGATTACAGTGCCGGCGATGCGTCTGAAAATGTACCGAGTGCACAGTCTGGCGCTGGGGTTTGTGATAGCAACAATGGCAGAGGATTCCGGACAAGGTACGCCCAAATAAGTCGCCCTGACGAGACCAAGTTGCATAAATGGGGTCAACTCTCCTCTACCAACTTTTACAGTGCTTTACTTAGGGTGACTCGAATTCTTAAACAAATCATCCTTGGAACATAAACCCACGTACTAAGCCGCTTCGAAAAGCTTCTCAATCACTGACTTTCGATATGTCTACGCTTACTGAGTCTATCAAGGCCGCTACTATTCTCTGTATCTTTGTTTCCTACAGGTTAATGCTCCTCAGTACGTATTTCTGATATCCGATCTCGCTGGTGAGCAGCGATTTGCCTCTACAGTTGCCAAGCGCCTTGAGTCTCTGGGCGCTTTGACGCATGGTGATCGGCGAGCTACAGAGACTCGTGATCTTTCACGCTTCAACATAGACACAAAAATGGGCCGTGAAGCCTTAGACATCGTAATGCGAGCCTGCATTAACGGTGACCCAAGCATTGTGGAGCCGCCCTCATATGGCACTCAGCTGGGTGGCTCTTTGGATGACGATTTTGAAGGTGGAAAACCCTCATCCAGCTTATCCGACTCTAGCGACACTACAGCTCTTGCTCTCCGTTCAGAACACTTTTTCGCCGACGTCAAAGCCAGTCTCCAAGGTAAAAGCATTCGCCAGGGCGTTTACGTTTATATTCTTATTTCTATTTCTACTAATATTACTCTTGTTGCGTCGGAGTGAGTATGCTGTCATATCCTATGCGTTTTTGAAATTAAAATAGATTATTTTTGATGGTGATCTAACCAAATTTACAACTTTACTAGACATAATCTCAGTCTTATGCATCTTTATCGCTTTTCCTCAGTTAACACAGCTAAAGTGTCACTGAATAGCACATCACCTATTGTTTTCATTTGTTTCCTGCATATTGATTTCCACAACATTCGACAAAGTATCTTGTATTAGCTGACAAGAGAGTTTAGAACTTATTATTAATGATTTAGTTTAAGACAATCTTCCGGTTCTATGTTAGCACTGTGGCAGGACTCCACAAAATTGATGCCTATATAACTGCAAAAAATTACAATGCGACTGCCTTTGCAACTTACCTCTCACACGGCTTAATACTTTGCAAGTTTTAATTTTTGGTATTTAAGGGATATCCTCATATCCTTCTCTAAATAATATTCTTGCATCCTATTTTTTTTAGTAAAGATATACTATTTGTATTTTGAGTAATATGGAACTAATTTCATTGTATGCATACTT